TTATTCCCTGGATATGAGTTAACAGATGTCAATATGGAATATTTTTTCCAGAGAGATGTTTGTCAATCTGTCAATAGTATTTTGCTTATATGACAAACAAACAGTTGTTAACATCAATTGATTTGGTAAGCCTTTAGTCGTATCATCAATGACAGGCTTCAAAAAAGGCTGTCAAAGGAGCTTTAGGGGGAAAAGGACAACAAGAACAACAAACAATTTTGGCCTTTAACTGGCCGTATTTCAGTGTTACTTTCTATTAGGAGTCAACTGTTAAGTTAGGGACTAGAGCCAGTCAATGGCAAAACAAACCTGCTTACAGCTTAGTTTGCTTTACTCATATTTCTGTATTTTAGCTCCTGTTAGGGAGGCAGAACAAAGGTAAGGGATGGTGTATAGCCAAAAGTCTGAGGAAAGACTGTGTAGTCCTACGTCTGGGTCACATCTCAAGTACACACACCATTTATGTCAGCATGAATGGGCAACTCTCCCATACCAGTAACCTGTACAATATTATTTTTATTCTATCAAGACAGCATGGGAGAAAAATGTAGAGGATGTGACTTGCTTCAGGTTGTAGGTAAGATGCTTCTGGCCTTTGCCTAATTGTAGTCACTAAATACATCTCACCAAGAGCCTAGTCATTATGGGCTCTCATACTCACTAGGGTCTTCAAAAACACGATTCAGCCAGCCCAACATCTGAAACTTGATGTTGACTCTCTCTGTAATGTGTATAAAAAAGCTGAGAGAAAAACCTGCAGGAATTTAGGAGAGTCAGATATGTGGGATGACTCCAGGCCAAAGCTGAGGGCTGAGATGGCAACCAAGTTTCAGTGCCCTGGACAGCAAATTTATTGACAAGACTGGTTTTTTTAGCCTTTCCAAAACCTTGTTGAATCCTACAGTCATATGGGAAATACAACAGTCCAGGTCTTCAGCATGAATAAAAATGAGCACCTGTTGAGCTTGGTAAGGATGTGAGAGTACTCAAGGATGAGGACTTCAGTGAGGATGGCTGAAACAGCACTTCATACATGCAGGGGAGAGCCAGACATCACTCAGAACCTCTGAAATACCAAAGGAAACAACCTCTTCTACTTGACCGTGGGACAAAGAGGAGCAATGAAATTCCTGCAGTGTCTCCCAGCAGCTTGAACACCCAGAATCAAGCCATCTTCCCCTTTCCTGTTACTACCTGAAAAGAGGGAAGACAGTTCATTTTCTGCCAAAGCAGACGCACGGCACAAACTCATAGAAACAAGACAGGCAGGAAGGAATTTAAAAAAAAAAAGTCTGGAATTTAGATAGTGAAAAGAAAGGAATTCAGAACCACTGCAATGACCTGTCTGACCTAGGAAGTATTGGATATGGCAGACTGCAAACAAGACCAGCAGAGTATAAAAGGGTCACTGACCCTATGGACAGCATTTCCATCCAAAAGCTAGTGGGTAACCTTTTGCAACAAAAAAAAAAATTTACTTTAAAAAAAAAAAAATTATAGACACTGACAATAGCCAGATTAAACCAGCCGCAAACCAGCCAAGATCTTCATTTTTCTCAAAAACAATATCCCCAGCTTCACTAAATCAAATCATGGCATACCTGTATTTTTTTTGCTTTAATACAAAATAGACATTTTAAAGACAACTAAAGAGAGGGAAAGAGATCTATTTCAATGCGCAGTTAAACATTTCCTTCTGGAAGATTTCTTCTCTTGCAATGTCCTTAACACTGCCAGTGCCATATTTCAGCGCAACTAAAAGACAGTGCTTCTCCATATTACAGTTCTGCAGACTTTTTGTTTGTTTGTTTAGTCATTCCTCAGAGGGTCAATGTTGTTTGGAGACATTTACAACAATTAATTGCCCCTCAAGTTCCAAAGAGCAAATTTTTATCCTCTCAAACAAGGTGGGAATCAGGTTATAGGTTACAGGGAAATGACTGACCAGATACAAACTGTGTATGCTGCATTAGCCACAATGACTCTTGGGATTGAAGGCCTACTATTAGTTAAGAAAAGAGAGGATTCATTCAATTATTGTACTGTATAATATTGAGCTAATGGACATGGCGTATGAGGAGAAGAAATAACAGACATTTACTACCTTTTCTGAACAGAACGAAATAAAACATGAAATGTTTTTTTTTAATAGCTAGTAAATTTATATTAATATTCATCTGCAGAGGAGTAAGAAAAACAAGGGCTTTGATGTTAGGCTGATATAACTGCCAGGGCTGCTACAGTCTCCTATTATGTACCGGGATATCAGCATATCTTCCCTAATCCTAATTTAATCTCATACATATTCTTCATCAGTTACCGTTAAGAGAAGTTTTTCACCTGATGTCATGTGGAACTGAAACAGTATTGCTGATGGTCACAGTGACATAAAATAAAGGCAAAATCAGTCAAACTGAAAGGGCTAACAAGATAAACAGTTCAGAAATGACTCACTTAAACTTGGCAAGCCTCTTAGGGATAAGAGCTGTGCTATGACTGGTCACATGCAGGGCTAGGCTCAAAAGAACTAAAGTTAGTAACTCTGAAAAATGGGCGACAGCATTAAATCCCAATAAACCCACAATGTCTGTGGCCAACAATGCTGTCACTTACGTACGTGCATCCAAGTTTGCTATGGGCTACGTTCCCTGGAGCAGACACCTTTCAGAAGCACCCTCTTTCCCCTGCACCATACCAAATAACAGTCTCTAGTGCGACTCTAAGCAGTCATCCTCCCTTTTTTTCCTGGAGTGCAATAAAGAGAACAAAAGGGAAATGCAATGGAGCTGTTCTGTGATTCTTCCTGTGAATGGAGAGAAGATCAGAAAAGGCACTCAAAAGGAAGAGAGGAGGCAACAAATTAATGAGGAATGAGTTGTGCTGCATTTAGGCTAAAGCATTCTGTATCTTCAGCCAGTCAAAGCCAGGAATGTAACAGCTACAGCTGTGCATAGACGCGAGCGTAAATGACTATTTCAGGTCCTTTCCATGCTACCTTTTACTTTGCCCCACTGTCTCAACTAGCATAGCTTCACTAGCCCTGGTGCAAGCAGCTAGTGTTAAGTAGTGATATATAAGCGGAAGATGTAATAGAATAAGGATACATTTACAAGTCAAATACCGGGCATGCAGATGTTACACAGCCGAGAGCTACTGAAATGCCTTTTTGTTTTAAAATTGTTTAAACTCAGTAAGTTTCATCACCAAAATTAATACCTGCTGTTTGTGTTGTAGCAGACAGAAGAACCTATTTAGCATAGTGATAACCATCAGCTGTTTATCTAAGACTTTACTGCACCTGCTTCTCCACCACTAACACAAGTTTCAGGACTAAATTACATCTCAGCCAAACCTTGATCATCATACGAAGCACGCACTGCAGAACAACTCACACACACACAAACAAATCTTCGTGTAATGTCCTGAGAATAGCTAAAACTCACACAAATGAAGACAAGCATAAGTGTCTACTAGCATCAGACAATGAAGGAAACTATCAGGTTTTCTAGCATGAATCTCAGGTCCCATCCTGCCTCCCTTCTGCCCCAGACAAAGATATCTTGCTTCTCTACTTCTCCAGGTCTGTGTTCTTGTAGGCATGTTAATGACTTGAAGCTTATAAGATCACTAAGTAGAAGGAGACAACCAGTTCTCTTCCTGTGCATCTTGGGAAGAACATGAACCTAGACCTCTACAAACAAAAGGTCAGCATGACCCAGGTCTATGGGAGTGCAAAAAGATCCAGGAAGAATGTTTTAAATATTGCAGATGACTCTCTCTAGTACAGTTGAGCCATCAATGTACTACGTGCTTTAAAAACATGCAAGGAGACTTAGAACTGCAAAGAGCTTACAATATGAAGTTGACCTGTGCTTATTTTGTACTGTTAATCATCTTCCTGATTCTGCCTTGAAATTTTGCTGCAAACAATATCCGTCTCCGTTTGAAAAGTCACAACATTTTGTCACTTACTGCTGCACAGGGTATACAATTACAGTGATGTAATTTTCACAGGAAGGTGGTATTTAGAAGAGCTAATATCACAGACACAATGAACACGAGGAAAATGGATGGAAGCACAGAAAAAGAGAGACAAAGGAGATAAAGCCAGATCCACAAAAAGAAGCAAAATGTTGAAATCAGGACTTCCGCAGAGATGCTTAGGTGCAGGAGATGGAAAAGATGATCAAAGCCCTTCGGCAGATTTTCATTAGTAAAAAAATCTACAGCAACTTAAGTTCTGGCTACACACAGAAGCATAACTCTGCGTTGGCAGGGATGGTCAGCTGGCACTGCTCCAATGCCTACTCCTGATCACTATTCTCTCAGTAGACATTCTACTTCTGTCTGCAAAGAGGACCAATGACCTCAGCATGCTAACATGCATCTCTAGAGAACTTCTACTCAATACACACAGACTGTCTTCTGTTGTCCAAAAAGAAAAGAGCAACTGCACCTCCATCTGCAAAAGGAAGTATTAGAACGTACCAGGCTACAATTCCAGCCTGTGAATGTTAATTAAACACAGACTATCCTACAGTGCAGAATCAGATATTTTAGAAACCTCAAGCTTAAAAGAGTACAAATCAGCTTTAGAATTAGCTATTTGCTTAATTCCCATTTTTCTTCTCATCCTACTGTGGCACTACACTGTTAGGAATGCTATTTTAAAGTTTCTAAATCTCCTCACAAATTCCACTTTAGAAGCCAGATGTTCAAAGTTCAGCACTGCAATGCATTACCACATCTGCATTTCTGTGTTGAACTGCCTTGAGAAAGTACCCATTCAAGACTGACCGGCAAACCTGAGTGCGGATCAGGAACTGGAAAGTCAGTCCAGCAGTTCACAGTGAAATCATTTTCCTCCCAGATCACCCCTTTAGTAACTCATCCTCAGTGTTCACACCATTATCTGTATCTTTCAGCACACTATTCATAGTCCTGTAACACAGCTGTATTGCTGCACAGGGAAGCTTCTGGTGCAAAACCAACTTTTTTACCTTTGGATCAGCAGTCAGCAGCTTGAATGCTTGATATACTTGTGCTTCTTTCACACCTCCACCGAGATCCAAGAAGTTGGCTGGCTTTCCACCGTTCAAGGATATTATATCACATGTTGCCATTGCAAGTCCAGCTCCATTGACTGTAATTGTAAACATCAAGTGCTTATATTTCACATAAAAGTATGTAACATTTGGGAAAAGGCTTAAAACGTATCAGCACAACCACATAACATGGCTCAAAATGTTACATAAATATTATTTCTTAATAGGTCAGTACCTATTCAAGGATATTCAATGCAACAAATAATTCAAAATCTGGTGCATACACACCAACATTTAGATTTCTTTTTACAACTGTATCAACTTTAGGACTTAGATGTGCATCTTCCCTTAAGCATGTATGAGCACTGGAATGATAACTGTGGAAATGCAAAAACTTCTGATTTTAAAAAAAAAGACACACACACAAACTTCTGGGAATAGTGATCAGTGATCACATCACGAGACATGAAGGACAAATTGAGTCCTTAAGCTCCCCTCCCATCTGACAGCAGTAGATAATGCTTTGTATTACTGTAAAACAGACAACTAATTTTGGGGACAGATATCAGATGCTCCTGAAACTGCCTTTTATTTTGTGTTTACACCAGTCTAGAAGCATTCCCATGGGCACAAACATCCTCTAAGCTAGGAATAGTAGATGTGAATTATTTGTCCGCAGTAAGTTGTTCCTGCTGGACAAAGTAAGGCTTCTGTGTCACCTGTAATTCAACAGCAATATCTAAGACTGAAAAAAAAAAAAAAATACTGTAGTGTTGCCAATTATTGCTTGGGGGTTTTTTGGGTTGTTTTTTTTTTTTAAAATCGAGATTAAAATCTCACTGTCACTTACTGAATCAACTGCAACACGTTATCAGTATCTTCTAGATTTGTGGTTAGAGTACACATCAAAGCAATGTAAATACTGGATATTTACTAAAACCAGTCATTCCACCAAGCTGAGATAAAATGACTAATTCAATTAGAGTCATAATAAAATGTTTTACTGGCTAAAAGAATTTGTACAAAGTAAAAATTATTTAGAGCACAGCTGACTTTTTTACTTATTTCTTCTAAACACAAGAGTAATTCCTGTTCTACAGAAACTTCAGAAAAATAAGAAACTGGCAGTTTCCTTTTAACAACCAAGCAGCTTCTTTAGCGACTTTCCTTAAAGGCAAATGGAGCTCAATATTAATTTGTAAACAAGAATACCATGTTCTTACGCACACACTTTTGCAATGCCTTCTGAGTAACACAGTCTCATTTTTGAAAATTAATGATCAAATTTTGATTACTTTTCTTGTTTTGATTACTGGAAAGACCAAATGCATCAGCTTAAGAATTCAGAACGTAGAAACCCCACAGGCTTCTCCCTTAGCCTGTCTTCTCTCTGACTCACACATGCCCTGCCTGTCCGCTGCTGTGGCCTTCATCACAGTTTCAGCACAACTTCAGTTTCATTCCTGCAAGAACTTGTGGAAGGACAGACAACTTCAGCAAAATAGACTGAAATACTGTCAAGGGTGGATTGAATGTCAGTATGTAAACAAAGTCTATACACTGAACAAGTATGAATTTGTCTTCAAATGTCTTTTGGATTTATTCGTTCTTACCAAAGCAAGCAATATTTCCATCCAGTCCTATATATTTTAAGTCATATTTGGCAGCTTCGTTCTCTATAGGCTCATTTTCAGACTTGTCATCCATGGCAAATATTTCTTTTTGCCTAAATTCTGCATTGTCATCAAAGTTTATCTTGGCATCAAAACAAACAACTAAAAAAAAAAATATAAAACAACATATAGGCATTTAGAGTTTACAGTTAGTCAGAGCTTCTGAAATATTACACCAATTACTATAGCAGGGAGGGGGAAAGGGCTGCTTAGGGAGTGATGCTGCTTCCAGCATATGATCAGCTGAAGTTCTAGCACTGAGTCCAGTAGAGAAGGGTAAGTTTTCCCCAAATCCTATATTGAGAAAAGGTACAGCAAGCGTCTCCACACTACACAGTCATGTGCCTTTGTCAAGGGATGATCTTCTACGTTTGCTTTAAACAAAGTTCCCCAAAATTATGAAGGCAGTTTTTATGATGTGGACAGGTGGTCTGCAGTAATTTCGTAAGAGACTACTTTCAGTATTTTGAAAGTATGACAGATATAACAGGTAACAGGTTAGCAATCCAAAGCGATGTTTGATAACATGCACTCATTTATAGTTAAGCAATACAAAATGCTTTCCTTAGCCATATTTTTAATTTATAATGTCATTAGGTATACATACATTATTTCCCTGAAGATCTAAATTAAAACAACTTTAAGCCAATGTATGTTAAAAATTATCAAAAGATGACTTTTAAACAAAGAAAATTTAAAAAGTAAATACAAAACTTCTCATCAATGTCAACATCCACTATGGCTGTAAAAACAAATTAAAAAGTAGCTAAACCTGACTATATTAAGTAATAGATACCAAAGACTAGCTAGTCGACATAATATTCACATAAAAACAAACAGTAAAAGAAATGCATGTAGAGTGAACTGGTTATTTGCCTATTTACTGACTTATTATTTCTATGGGTTTGCATAGGCAAACACCTCATTAGATTAAAATGTTCTAAGTAAATATAAGACTATATGCTTATCATTTCACTATTCAAGTAATTTGATTTGTACTATATCCAGATTATAATTACTGACTGAATTATAATTGATTTCTCAATGCAAACCAGTCAGATTTAAGTGCCTTTAAATGCTGCATCCAGAAAAATCAAATAGTTTTTCTTTCTGCTGTGTTTTGATTCATACTGCCATTGAAACATACATGGTACACATGCACCTGCTCATGAGCATTGTACATGTCTCTGCAACTAGAGCCCAAGTACAATTAAAAAGACAATTTTTAGTCTTTGATATAGATACCCATCAACTAAAATAACTAATCACACAATCTTTTTTGGTGAACAAATACCTCTCTCTCTCTTTTTTTTTTTTTTAAATATACAATTGCTTAACTTAGGAGAAAATACCTACGCAAACAGCAAACAAAACATTTACACAAATAGGAGAGTCTCAATTGCATGTCTTGATTTGCATTGGGTTTTCTTGTTTTGGACTTCTGATGTTGCTGGGGTTTTTGTGGTTTTCTAAATACATTTGATTTGTAACCAATACCAGATTAAATTAAAACAGGATCAAATTTAGTTTCAGTGACTGAAGTTTCAGAAAACTATTCATGAGCGTGTGCATATAATAAATCTCTCTTGGAAGAGTCTAGATCTTACCTGGTCAACCATCATGTGGGAATCTGCCAAAAGGAGAAATGTCTGAAGATCATAATATGCTTCCATTGTACTAGAGCTGCTTTAATTTTTTTTAACAATTAACTAAGACCTGTACCATTTTTCTTCTTCAAGCTTTCAGTTCCTTAAATTGCTAAAACAACTCAAAGCTAGAGTAAAACTGCAGTTTCAGAGCTCTTTTTACCTTAGACATGAACGTCCTCAATGTCACATTAATAGAATCTCATTTCTACAGAACATTCATCTTTAACAAAGGCCATGCTGTACAAAGTAGCAGGAAAAACACCTATTAATATTTATCAAACCATTTTCACCATCAAAAGCACATTGTTACATGCATGACAGATTATACAAATGAAATTTTCTTCTAAACAAATATCAAAGAAAGCTCCAACACTTATATTCAGGGAGTATTTTTGTTGTTTTTGCTAGCAGTGTAGGATTTTTGTCATCTGCCAATTCAACAGCTTACACTGAGAGCAAACAAAACAAAAACACCCAAAGAAATTGGCAGTTACAGGCTTCTGACCCAATAGTGTTAACAAAGAATTTGCTACAAAATTAAACAAAAGGAAATACATACAACAGTGTATTTTCTTATGGAAATTCACATGAGTGAAAAACACAAAAACCAGCAAGAAATAAATCCATCTTAACTGTTACTTTGACAGGAATAATGGTCTTCATACAGAGACTTATACTTTATCATTAGAAATAACTGCATTAAGCTGCTCAAATGTTCTTCCATTTGTTTTATCTTTATTCTTCTGTAAGACATTTCAGATGGAAAAACTGCTAGCAAAAAAGAAATAAGCACAGGAAAACTTCTGTGTATGTCTGCTAGTAAGATGGCTTCACAGCTTGAAACCCACTCTGTTTCTGCTCCTCAGCTTCCTGAATGCGAAACACAGGGGGAAAAACCTCAGAGAAAACAGCATAAAAACTCCTACCATCCCTCAGATTAAGTCCTGCTCACTAAATATGCACAGCCATTCCAGAAAAGCTAACTTGGCAACTTATCCAAATCAGTTCATTTTTTTCCACAGTGCTACCTCATAGTACTCCAGCATTGATGCAAAGTTAGTACCAACATGGTTCTTTGGGTCCTTTTAGGACCACCACTTTTGTTTCCTCTCATTCCCAACTGTCCTCTCTTTCACCTGCCCCTACCTGTCTACTGATTTCCCCTCCGTGTTGGTACCCAGCCAAATACATCCTCAGCACCTCAATAATGCCCCTATTCCGACAGCGCTGTCTCTGCCCTTCTCACTTCCTTTTCAGTGTCTATACACGTCTACAGCGTCCACTCACTAACACTCAAGACATACTTAAAGGTCTTCCTTGCAGGATTACATGGCTGAGATGATGTAGGTACTGAACTGAGGATTCTGTCCTTTGCTCTGCCAAAATGGCAGAATAGTAAAGTGCTTCTATACAAGTCATCTGAGCTAGTTTTGAACCAGCAAGTGTGAATACCAGAACAGCCTAGTCCTGGCAGAAAGCGCTCACCTCAAGCTCACTTCTCTGCCTGATAGAAGGCAATTGTCATAGATGTCCCAATTTCTGACATCTGACTGAGCATAAGGACTACTGGGTACCTTCCATACTGCCCTGTAGTGTTAAAACATCTTGGTCAATTATTCTACTAAAAAAATGATTTCAACAAGTTTTGAGGAAGGAAATTTTGTTTTTGCAGTATCAATGGTCTTGAACCCACAAAACAAACCTGGTAAAGTGTATCAGTCATAGCAGACAAACATACCAATGAATTTGTTTTGAAGTAAACATCATAATCCGCAGGAAAGTTCCAGCAGTTTTTGTTGTACCTACTTTAAAGGTCCCATTCATCTTCAAGAGGTCAAAAGTGTCATGTGTTGCACATTGCTAGAACTTGAAAAATTCAGACAATTCATTTTACAAGGTCCTATTTCATTGTTCTGCTTTAACTTCACTGTGCAACACAAAATGAAAATGTCCTTCTCACTTCATTCCCGACCGGTTTTAATAAGGCCAATGGATCTATTTAAATGGCGGGGGAAAAACAACAGTCTATTGGGTTCTGAAGGCAAATTTTCCATTTCCATTTAAAATACAGCCTACAATAGAACTACACTGGTCAACAGCAGGGCTTTTTGTTTCTCTCCCCCAGTACACATTTCAGAAATTGCATAAGAACCAATGGAGCTAGAGTTGGTTGCTAAGAATTTGACTTACACTTATTAAGCTGAGTGAGGTTTACAATGCGGAAACTATTGATTCAACATGCACGTTATTGTGGTACTTCGAATGAGATGGAAATCTGAGCACACAGTGCTGCGAAAGATTCTCAAATAAAAAGAGTTAAAGCATTTAGTGGAAATCATTCTCACGAGGTAAACTCTGTCCAGAGAGCTAACAGATTCTGGTGGTAAGAACACCAAAAAAACCCAACCAAGAATGATTCGAAAAAGGTCAGGAAAAAAGGTTTGAAAAGCAGAATGCATACTTTTAGGTCATAAATATGTTCTTCTAACTTAGTTTAACCTGAAATCAGCTCATTACGTAAAAAAAATTGACCGGACATTTGATCATTATTATCATTGTCTCTGAATTATCCTCATATACTTTAATAGACAAGGTATTCCTTTTTGTATTTGTTTTTAAAATGTCACTTTACAATAGGGCATTTTAGTGTACCAGAGCCCATTTTATAACAATGAGCAGCACTTTATAAGATGCGTTAATAAAATGGGGCAGGGCAGGATTTGTTTTACATCTTTTAGAGCTTTTTCAGACTACATTACCAGCAGAATTTTCCTTTTAAGCTGTGGACAATTCTCTGCCAATTCTTTTGCATTTGGTTTGCTAATAAAAATGGAAAAACAAGGTTGGACAATTGGAAGAGACTGCATAGTTTCTAGCCACAATTCAACTTTTGAATTCCTGACCAACTGAGCCAAAATATGGGTTTTTAGTGAAAAGCTGTTTACTTTACAAACTAGCTGTGTGCACATAAAAAGTATTCTTAAAATGCTAATTCTTTCAATTGGTACTCACTCCTATGAGGACCTCATGGTCTTAACTGACATAGCAATTATCTTTTTCCAAAAGTTTCCAGAACTGCAATGAAGCAGCCACATTCCTAGTGTCTGTTAAAACGGGTAAAAGCTTTCTCTTTACATTTTCTAATTTCCACTTTAATCTATAGGCATATCTTATAAGTTGGTTAAAAACTGGAATTGTCTTTCTTGAGTATTCTTTATCAATGCTTGTCAAGAAACACCCACCAGCACTTCCCAATGCCAAAGACTTCTCTCAAATCACAAAATGATACTGTAGGTAGGGCCTCTACTAGAAAGTCACTAGCGCTTGTGAACCGCAGCCTTTGACGTTGAAGTCTCAGCTAGCTCCCCCTGAGCTCCACAACTTCTCACCTTTATCTATTTAAATTAAAGAGAAGAAATAAAAAGGGAGAGGGGGCATGGATATCATAAAATATTGGCATTAGGAATGAATGCAAGGGTAAAAATGGTCTGCCATCAAATGAAACAGCAAGGTGGTAACTATGATCCACTTGGATCGGCCCTACTCTATTTCAATATACCACAGGCATCTTTAGTTCCTCTTCTCTTTTGTTCAAGTTAATTGGACAAAAATGACAAATGGGAGGAAGGGTTTCAGCTGGAAAACCAACTACTACAATGACATGAAAGCTAACCCAGCTCCTTTTATTTACCCTATACCTTCTTAGCCCTGTATTCATGGTAGAAGCAGATCAATTACCCTTTTTCTTCCCAAAGGATGTAGCTAAGTGTCCATTCCAGCTGGAATTTCTCCTGTGCTCGAGTAGGTTGCAGAGTCATGCACTTATGATTTTAACTTACTTATATGTTTACAAATGTAAAATAAGAAGTTTCTTTCCGCACAATCTCAGGAATTCTAGCAACATTAACAAAAACATATCCAAGACAAAACAAAACCAAGAAAAACCCAACTTTGTACAAAGAGCAGAAGAGCAGAAAATGTTGCTGTTTCCCACCAAGCATAACATGTAGAAGCCGATACTTCCAGTATTTCGATGAAATAACAAAAGGTATTGAAATGTAAAATCTGCCATGGGAATATTTATGAATGTTGCTTAAATTACATTACAAAATGAAATTAATGCAAAGCTGCTGCTACAACCTTCTATGCAATTTAATTTATATTTTGCATAAATAAAGAACTATAATGCATTCATTTGTTTCCTTCAATTTCTTACCTTGCCCTTCTGGAGTTTCACCAAAGGGATTCACTTCAACCTGAGTGGCATCAATTTTCAAGAAGAGATTATACAGCTTCTTAATTTGATCTGCTGCCTAAATTTGATCAAGCGATTTACAATTACCACGCAGAAAAATAAAAGTTAATGTTTTCAAGGCAAAGGTAAACCATTATTGATTATTTTTAATGTATTAAATTGCACACTAGTTCTAGATAATTACTGCTTTTATTTCTGTTTTCTTAATCATATTTATATAGTATCTAAAATAGCTATAACGTAGCATTATGATACTGCATAACATTTTGTAAATGTGCATTTAAAGACTACACGAACTGGGGATTTTCTACAAAATAAACAGCACGATTACTATGACAAGTTTAATTTGAAAAGTGCCTAACAGTTCATAATGACATATTCGCTGGTATGCTGAGATCTAAGTTGCACTCATGTTCATCAGTCTAAATTCAGAAACCAAAAAGCAGTATGTGCACATTAGTGACTTTAGGAAAAAAAAAAAAACACAACATTTCTCCTTCCTACATCAGTCTGAAATGTTTTCTTGAACAAATTGTCAGAAGCATGCTTGTCTACTCTTTATGCTCTTGCTCATTCCTTATTGTTCCTCACCATCTATCTCTGACTGGTTCTGTGGCCAAAAGTATTGTGACTGACTACTAACTTCCAAGTCTTTAGTTCTTACAACAGTCTTCCATTAATAGAACAATTTAAACAACAGCAACATGAACGTGCATAAAAAGAATCCCTTTGGTTCATTACACACTGACAACCTATTAGCTGAAATAAGTTTGCAGATGAAGAAGTGCACTAATAAAGAAAAAATCAAATTTGTTCCTTCATTACTGATCAGTTAACTGAAGTACAGAAATCAAAAATATTTGGGACCTCTCCTAATAAGGAAAGTGAATGAGAATAAAAAAAAAGAAGTCAGCTTTCTCCCACAACATCATTCGTAAGAAAACATTACGACTATAAAGACTCAACCCCAATACTGCACTACATCAGGAAGAACGTGGTGAGGGATGTTCCTATCTCCCCCTACTCAGTGCTGACAAGGCAGCACCTGGAGTGTTGTATCCAGTTTTGGGACCAACATGCTGAAGACTCTTTAAAGAGTTACAGTTTGGAAGCAGCATACAAACTGTTTATGAAGTCTTCCCTTCTCAAAATTCATCAGCTGAAGCATTCTCATTGGTTTTGATTTTTAAAAAATTACCAGTTATAAATCTGCACCCACCAAGGCAGCAGTTTCCTTGGCATGGCCACCGTGGTTGACAAAGTATCCTAACACCACATGGGTAAGGCTATCAACAGTGACGCTAGGGAGGAAGTCCCACCGTGCAACCCCACACTGATTCTTGGCAACCTGAAAAGCTGTTGTTGCCCTAGTACACTGCTGTAATTTCAACAGATCACCAGAATCGCTTAACTTTTATTAAGGGCTGCTCCATCTTTCAGCACCTCTCTGAATCAGGCAGCTTAATGTCAACATTTCTCTTTCTCAAGGTCTACAAGTACTGAGCCTCTTTGAGGCAAAGCATAAAATCCCAACCTAGAAATAGCGAATGTATAAGTAAATACTGGGATTTGTCTGAATAAAAACTATGTTCCTATGCTTCAGTAAATTCATTTGAGTTGATAGCGCAAGGAAAGAAATGCACTCACTGCAGCATTATTTAAATGTATTGTTAAAAAGTCCATATATTGCTGTTAATTATTAAGTACCAGAACTCTTCAAGGGTTGAAAGGTTCTACATAATCATTCCTCCTCATTAGATATACAGCTAAATCTCCAAATGTGTGTTAATCAACTTAATGATTACGCATTTGTTAATTGCACGGTTGGGATAGAAAATAATTAAAATTGCTGAATTAAAAATAAAGGAGTTCTACAAAAATGACAGTTTGATACTATAGGAAAAAAAAGGCAAAAGTAGCTTAAACAAGCTTTTTCTCTGCAAAATGATTCACAAAGGCAAAATATCTTGCATATTTGTGTACACTATGGAATTCCAATATATATAAAAAAAAGATACTTAAAAGACAACAAGCTGTCAGACTTTTCGTTTTGAGTTGAAGTTCGGGAAAAAAAAAGGCTTCAATTGCACAGAGAGATACACTTTTACTTCTCCCCATATTAAGGGCCAAATTTTCAAAAAAGCTCTACCCGTGTAATTCACTGAGCTCCAATGGAATTCCAATGAACAGCACATTGTCATCAATTGCTTCAATTGATGAAGGGACTTTCACTTTGGAACAATAAGGACCTTATTCAAATTGCTAAAGCCTGACGACAATTATATAGGTGCAATTTAATATTTAAAATGTCAAAATGGTCCTGATCTAATGGACACTTAGGCTTTCATGTCTGTTTGGAAAGCATTTATTCTATAGCTGGGCTAAAATATCTTCAGTAAAAACTGAGGGAGTAGAGTCAAGTTACCTGCTGTTGCAAAAGTCCTTTGAAGCCCAAATTTTTTGCCATCTGCAATGCCTGACGATCCTTTATACCTTCAAAAATATCTATTTCCTCCTGTAACAATAACGTGCATAAATATAACTAAATAGTCAATCTGAATGGAGATTTATAACTTCAAAAGGAAAACAGTATACATTTGCAAATTAGTAATTAATGCATGGCTGTTTGCCAAAGTTCTCCGAGACTGAGGCTATAGCAGCTGCCTATAGGGTATGTTATAATTACCACACCAACTATGAAACAGTCCTTCCAAAAAATATTTAATTCTTCAGGGTGGCATGCTGACAAGACAATGTGACACCAGTTTTCACTTTTAATTACTGTACAGATGGCGTTGACGAATATTTAGTCTGTTAATTTTTATGACATCTTCTGGAATATTTTCAAGGCAATGGTGTCACTGCCCAGTAACACTGTGAAGTTTATATAATTTTAAAATGCACATTAAATATTTTTACAATTTTTTGAATAATTACACTTGATTGTATCAATTATTTTCCCAGATGAATAGCTTGTCTACTCATTATCATGCCACAGTAATAAATACTTAAATGTAGTCATCGTTAAGAAAGTAATTACAACAGTTGTATTTCAGATGCAAGAGTCATCCAGGTACAAAGAAATAATTAACAACTCTGTCAATTAGAAAAAAACAACCACAGAAACAATAACCATATTGGCACTGACCCACTTGTGAAAAAACTGTGTACCTTTCTGAAAGTGAAACTCACTCATTAAACATTTCAGATATTAAGTTTATCATATCACGTAACAGTCAGATTTAAGCTCTTTTTCTAAATCGAGCTGGAGACACAAACACTAACAAAATCAGGTGTTAAACATGCTTCATTCATCTACTAGATGACAGGTCTGATCCCCTATTTGGTGAAACACAATTTTTATGGTTCTTACTGTCTTCTTTCCATATATAGAAGGAAAAATGGAAGGAGAAGGCGGGGGGGGAGAGAAAATTCTTTTGGATAACTGACAAGGAAAATTTTTAGTCTAAAATATTATTTTAATACCTTAAAGATAAGTTCTGGGCTAGTAACTGCAACTTCTTCTATGTCAACACCACCCTGTGGACTGCCAACCATAACAGGTCCATTGCAGGCTCTGTCCATCAAAATTGCAAAGTATGTTTCCCTGGAAATATTCAGTGCTTCTGCAACCATCACCTAAAAATGAATACAGGGAAGAAAAAAAACAGCGACAGTTCTGACTGGTCCATCTACCTGGTGACACTTAATCTAAACATAGCTTTGCTTCCTTGAGATGTCAAGAGTAGTAAATGTCATAAAATCTTTTGCAATGTAAAAAGCAATTAAAAATTAACAGAACCAATAAGGGACAATATTTTCCTCTGCTGTGATCAAGCAGAGAACATTGTGGCTCATGTTTCCTGCTTTGCCTTAAAAGGCAGCAGTTTGATATTTGCTATCCTGAAAAGAAACGTTTGTTTCATTCCTTTTAAAGGATATTACAACCCAGTGATTTTTTTCCCCCGAGAAATCCTCTCTCCCTAAATAAGAGACTCCCCTGATGCTGCTGTTCTCACTGGGGTATGTAACAAGCAGCGTAAACCAGGAACACCTAACTGTTGGGGTTTTTTCCAAGAAGAGAATCGGAGCTGCTGCTGTGTCCATAAAGGGGACCTCCGTATTACCTTTTTATTCCCCAAAAGCACTTTAACATGCTGCCCCCAGAAAAACTTGAGTCACAAGGGACTACAGTCTTGCAAATCACATAGATGTAAGAGAGCATATGTTGGCCTTCTAATGCATCGCATCAGTAGCCCCGTTCCTTACCAGTAAAGCCTCAGGCTTATGTTCTCTCCCTCATTCTGACAGAAGGCCATCCTACACTTAGAAGCTCAGCACTGAATTCCTGCCCTGCCTAAGTATTTCCTAAGGAAATGGGTTTACATGTAATTCTGCCATCCAGCTGTTTACTTTCAGTTTAGAGAGACAAGCAGATGTGTAACCTTCAGATACTGGCACATTCTAGAAACATAAAAATTTATTCTTCCAAAGAGCTACTCATTTCTATTTTTTACTATAAGCTACAGAACCCTTTCATACCGATATCTGACAGATACCTCAGCACGCAACAAAAAAGATGATTCAAATCCTACATGATTGGAATCTACAAGAACTCACATTAAAATTGGGGGGTGAAATGGCCCATATAAATCCTTTGTTACTTTTTTTTCCTCTCCTCCCAAAAATATGCCAAAGTCCTTTCCATTTCAGTATTACAGTAACTAAAACTTCCTCTTCATCTGAGCTGTCAATTTTTGCAATAGTTTAACAATAGCTATTGAAGCAATTTCAGAGATTAAGTAGTTTTACACTTGGCAAAGGACTCACAAAACTATGTTTTGATGCAAGAATACTAAATTCCCCCAAATATTCTTCATCTTAAAAAAAACCCAAAAAACTGCATATGATCCTTACTAATTATTCCTTGTGATCATAACAGGTGCCATAACCTCAGGTGCAAAGACTGTAGTTCTGCTCTGCACTACGGTTTTGCTTTTCAACCTGGAAGTTGAGCAGCCACCTCTGCCATTTAATTAGCACTATAGCTTCTCCTTCTGACAATCAACTACGTTCTTCCTTAGCAGAGCTACTATTTCCTACCTTTCAATGGAAGTAGTAGAAATCAGGAAAATCACTTCCCTAAGATTAATATAATTAAAAAGGATTAAGTGGCAATGTCTTTCTAATGTGGTCTGTTTACAAAGCGACAGCTTTGAACAATAATTGTAGACGAAGATCATCACTCTGAATGAAACATAAGGTGAAATTCATTCTATCAGCAGCTCAAACTCCTTAGATCCAAGAGGCGTGTATACACCTGCAGTCTTAAAACTCTGCCTACCCAGCAAGATGTGTTCCATCAAATAAGTATTCCTGGGGTTTTCATAGTTCAAGGACTATAAACAAGAAAGATGCACTATACTTTCAACCCAAGTCGCTTTTCTGATATTCTACTCCAGAGTACATAAGAAAGAATGTACTCACCTTTTGCCAGGCTGTACGTCTTAACAGAACAGGAAAAAAAAAAGTAAGAGACAAGGAATTAAATAAAGCCCTCTGTGCTCAGAATGGAAGGCAAGATGCTATTTCTTTATGGGTTTTTTGACTCGGAAGAAATTTTCTTTATAGTAATTTTGTTTCCTTCTATTTTTATCTTGCTTTATTCATAGAACATAGGGTGATGTAAAGGAATAGTTCAACTAAGTGACTGTTCAGAAGCAAACTAAAGAAAACTAGGTTGAAGGAGACAACTAAGAATGTAGAAAACTACCGTACTACTTAAAAGCATCTGCCTATTTTTGGCTACTATAAAGGGATGCTAAAAGCCAACTCACAAACACAGCTTGTCGGCTACCTGCCAAGATTTGTCAAATTAACAAGCAAAGTTATGGAAAGCATCCTTGATTTGCTACTATTAGTCTTTTTACCTGCATGCATGTTTTCACCTTCTTACATATCCTGAATCAGTGTATCTGAAAAACGTGAGTCACTTGCTTTAGACATAGGTCAAATAAAACCAGCTGGCCCTACCGGATCTTGTCTGAGTTGTTCAGAGTTTCCAAAGCGCTCAGGATCGGGGCCAGACTTAGGATGGGAATCCACTCAACAAGTCATGAGGAATACATTTGCAAGCACAGCAGGTGAAACTTACATTATTAAATCAGGTATCTTTTCAACTGCTACTTCCAACCCGAGTGATTATCCCCACTATTGCTAATTAACCATGTCAACATCAAATACTTCTCTGTCTTAATTCACAAAACTATTGAGAGTCTATCTACTTTGTAGTAGGCAAGCTTACTGTAGAGTAAAAATTGTCAGGCTGTAAAACATCTCTCATTTCTCCCAACAAAAAAGTTACTTTCCTTCACCATCCTCCCTGGTTGATGCAGAGCAAAGCCAGGGAAACTGGTGTTCAAGGTCTTTAAATATTATTTGTTAAAGTCTACCTACCATTCACATGACAAAACTAATGCAAACACACTAATGAACAGTTAAGAGTACTGAGATTCAATCTACAGACTGTTGACTTTTCTCGTATTTTGTCCGTTTTGCTTATGATAAAGAATGTGAAGCATCGTTATCTGTTTACCACATCAGGTTTATATTTAAAACGTCCTGGGGAAAAATCAGTTTTCTTTAAAACTTCCTGTAACTTCAAGCTTTCCTTCTTAAAAACAAATCATTACCTAAAAGTTTAAGTCACGTAATTTCATGAGGGTAACTATAACAGCTCTTTTATATTGAATCAAATAGTCAAAATGTTAATTCTGTTATTGCTTGGAGAGAAAACACAGGTAGCAAATTCTCAGGTTGTCATGATAAGAGAAGACTGTCTTCTCAGATAACCAGGCTCTCCAAATTCCAAGATACCATAAGAGGATTTTATGTAAACTCACAAAATAGCTTCCAAGTTACAAGAGAACTGAGGAGACTGCTATTTAAGAAACATCAATCTAAAGAAGCACAAACATGCTTTAAATTCTGTAGTAGGTGCACAGCTGAGAAAGAAAGCTGAAAACTCCATTTTCTGTTCCATAATTATTCTAATTGTAGAAAATTTCTATATTTTATTCCTTCCTTAAAAATGCACGTAAAAGGTACGTGACTTCCACTCCCTGACTTGACACTGGCTCATTGTTTGCCTTGCAGAAAGTGACTTAATAACTATTTTCCTTCTGAAGGACGTTTATTACTTTTTTTTAAAAAAAAAACAAAACATGAGTTCACTCAAACTTTCCAGAACACCAGAAAGTTTAAAACCCACAGAACCTAAGAACATGCCTTTTCTTTTCTTTGTGAACTGTGATTTTCTTTAAGTACATGTACACACACATATTCTTACATACACATACAGAGAGAACATATGCCTTGAAATAGAACAAAAATGCCTGCTATTAATTCTCTACTTCCCCACTGCTCGTAGCAAGCTCGAAGAGTCTGTCCGGCATTTTCTGTGCCTTAACTACCCACTGCATTAAATGACATTTTAGACATAGCTAAACTCATACTTTTAATCCTATTACTGTAGTTTGCTCCTTGATTAAAATTTCAGTGTTTGACATTGTAGTCTTGACACTACATGCCTGAATGCCTCAACTTCTTTAACTACTTTGAAGATCCTAGAGTGAGCTAACTATGGAAAAGATAAATGCTTTTAAAAGACGTTAGTTTTTCTGGGAGATGGTTTTTTGATGACCTAGATGCATCATTTTAAACATGCTTTCTTCACTGGCTAACAAGCAATGGGGAAAACGTTAGCATACCATTGGCCAAACTTATATAAATATTTAAAATAGGGTGTATGCTCTTACCATAAATTACCAAGAATAAAGATCTCAACACCAAAATACCATAAAACATACTACTACCTTGTTATACATGTATGTGATGAAGATATGAATTGGCCTAGGGCTTTTAAAAGCCAACTCTATAATCAGAATGGAAATCTATGACAAAAGATGATCAGCTTCTCCCAGTGAAAAGCACTACACCAGTTTATCATGCATCAGTATTAAAATACTTGCAAGCTGTGTCCTGAAAAGCTTCCAAGTAACTCTATAGCAAAGGAAAAATACACAGTTTATCAAGGCTATATACGTTCTTGTACCACCAAAATAAATATCTGAAGTTCAGTTGTGCAAACTTCATCTTAAACTTCACATATGCCCTAGTTGCTTACTCTTGACCGCTGTTTATTCATACAAGCAACATGTGGATGGGGAGTAAAGCAATTACAAGTTAAATCTCCTATAGCTATTCTATACATGGTACAAAAGTCATCTTAATAGAAATCCTTTGAATAATCCATTTCAAAAAACCCCAACACACCTATACCTTTCTTTCATTTCTATCAATTTTGAAGAAAATGAGAAGTTTCTTTTTCAGAACTGAGTATGTAAATGAATGAACAGACTTGCACTCAGACAAAAGAGTGAAATTTCCTGTATTGATGTATTCAAAGTAGGTCAACTAAGGCAAAAGAATTTATAAAAGAAAGTTGTTTTTACAATACAAATTTTTCAAAGCAGAGTGCCTTGATATGGGAAATTTATATCCTTTTTTATATCCTTAGTATTATCACAGTCTCTGACAGACATGCCTTAATGGCAATACTGTTCCTTCTTTTTAATATCTAGTATTTCTTTTTAACAACAACTATGAGGAGCGATGGTAATCTGCTCTCCTTGCTCCCCAAGAGAAGAACTGCCGAGCACCTTCTTCCAGCCCTCATTAGACAGTATCTTTCCAGACAGGTGTTCCCCTTCTATGCTAATATACCAAGCCGTTCACAATATATTAAAAGCGAACTGCAGTTCTTTTCAGCTCATGCCAAATTATCTCCTGGCACAAATACAGTGTGGCTCTTGACTACATACCTGTATGAAGATCCTTGCTCAGTAAAACAAAGCAAGAGATGAAAATATATATAGTAGATAGGCAATTGCTAGGATTTGCTGACTTACAGAATTTTACTAAGATAAAGGAAAATCTTGCTGAAGGGCTATCTATGCTTCTCTTACTTAGGCCAATACAGAGCAATACATTTATGCTGAAGTAAATCTTGGCACCTTGCAGTATGCACCGTCATAGATAAATGAATTACCATATACTAGCTGAACCACTACCATGACCACATTTTACTCTGTATCTGCAACAAGTTAGGAAGAATCTACTTTCGGACACCTTTTTTTTTTTTTAAATTGAGATCACTCTCACGCAAAGTCATCTGTCCCTATCTTTAATAACAGGTGCCCAAAGCTGAGGGTGAATGAAATACAGATAGTATTATTACTACAGGTAATCATGTATATATTACTTCTCTGAGCAGAACATCAATAAGCATGTACAGTTAATGCTATATACAGTTATGCTAGCATTTAGTATGTATTTGATGAAGGATGAACCTATGACAAAGGATTCCCTTCAACACAGGTAGCAGAAATGAATTTATTTTTCCACCACTAGGTATGCTGAAATTGATAGACAAAACCACATAGACACAAAGAAAGAAAAAGTAACTTTTTTTTTTTTCTTTCCTCAACTAGATGCAATCAATCAGGCATTGGAGAAGGAATGAAAAAAATAAATCTATGTCATACACCCCTGCATATTAATGCAAAATTGCAGCTGAACACAGTTCTCAACTTTCAAGAGGCAAAACTCTTACCTTTTTAACCGTCACACCATCCTTTGGAGTTTGCTTTGTTGACAGATTGTACCCAATCATCTGTTTAGCAAGCTGTTCAACAATCTTAGGGCTACAAAGGAAAAAGGTTAGTTTATTGAAAGATATCAAAAGAAACAGTCACATAGCTATTGTAAACAGCTTAAATATTACAACAGAAGCAATTTATTTATGCTTTTTCAATTTTAAAGACTTACTCTTTAGTTAGATGAACTCCTCCTTTCAATCCACTATTGAAAATACCCTTTCCTCTCCCTCCAGCCAGAATCTGTGCCTTCAGAACAATTTCCTTTGCCTCTGTAAAAGAAAAACACATTGCTCTTCTATCGTGTGTCATTTATCGAGCTTGTTAGTGTAAGGTTAAAAAGCATTTCCAGGTTAGACTCTTTAAAAACAATGAGAAGTTGTTCATAACTAGTGAGCGATAAAACAAGAGTCAATTCAGCCTTTTTACAAAGCAACCTTGCAAAAAAGAGTTGTTCAAGGAAGTTAAAGGATAAATATACACTACTTATTAGCTGGATAAATACGTCATTAGGTAGATCAAAACCATGCTATTAGTGCTACATGGCCTGCACATCAAACCATATAACCAGCATAAAGTTTGACAGCTTACATTCTGGCACGGTTTTTAAAACATGAATCAGATCATATTTTGTCTTAAATGCACAACCAACAAATGCTCATCAAGGAAAATAAATTCCATTCCTTGCTCTGAACACATGTAAGCAAAGCTATGGATGTGGTCCTAAAAGAAGAAATCCCCATCTCCAAAGGGCAGGTAAGCGTAGAGCAAGGGCAGTAGCTGTGAAAACATGTTCATCTGTTTGTGAGGCATCACATGAATCTTTGGCAATGCAAGTGTAACAGTATCTTAGTAACAAGAAAGTGCAGCAAGACAGAGTGACAAAAGTAATTGCACCAAGAGCTACGTTCCAAACAGAAGCAATCCTGACATCTTTACAGAGTAAAACGGAGGGGAAAAGGGGAAAAGAAAAAGAACCAACCAAACAAAAACATCACTCATTATCTCTGCAGATCCACGGACCATAGCAGCTTCTTGAACCATAAAGACCTGCCAGGTGTCTGTAAGATGTTTATTAATACTGAATACTGTCACCTTGCACATTTATCATAATACTGCCAGGTATTTTGCAAAGAAGTCTGAGATCCTAATATTAACATACCATTAAGCAGTGCCTAGAAAAGGCTAACATTGTTATCCTTTTTTGAAGTCTGTGGAAATCTCCGATTTCAGTGATGTTTGGATTAGGTTACACCTTGAATCACAATATTCTATGCAAGGATCCAAGAAAACATGAGAATCTGTTGTTAAATTGACAAATTTACTGTTTAAGTCACACAGAAGATATGGATACTTTCATTCAAACAAACGCAGGCTTTCTAGGCTTGTATTACATAAAAATATTTTACAGATGATTAAATACAAGTTTGGAGGTGTGGCAATTTTTGGTGCAGATCAGCTCTGACAGAGCGTCATTTCAAAGTTCCAGTATAATAAACTTCAGGAACTAGAAAAAAAGTTGGATCTTAGGATAGAGTAAATATTCTGAAATAAATATTCTATTTCCCGTATTAAGACAGAAATGCATTTTTAACACACCTGTTGGAGGTACTGTACTAAGAGATGTCTGATTTCCAAGCTTCTCAAAGGAAAATCCCTCCACGTTTACCCATTCAGTAACACTTGACATGTATCATTCTGAACCTTAAAAGCATTCTCCTTGAAAATACTTCATGCATTCCAATGTATTCATGTTCTGGGCTCCCTATTATTCATTCATTCAAGGATTTGATATATTATTCATTCAAGGCAGATAACAAGAAAATTTAAATGCAACAAAAAGTTTTATATCAAGTGTTTCCTAAGCACAGAAATTATTAAGATGAATTAAAACTATGAATCACTTTCCAACCTGCAGAAACAAACTCTAAAATCACAATAGCTGCTGTGATAAAGAATCTAATATAGTATTGTTAATAGATGCTGTAAGCATTTAATTAGATCGGTTTTAGGTGCCAACCATCCCGACAACATGAGTTTTGATTGTCAGTGATACGTGATATCAATTATGTGAGTGATCATTACCCTCACTCCTAACCAGCACGCTACACGAGTGCTGATTATCCTCATTTGGCTACAACAAATGAAGTTAGAGAAAGGAATTAATGTGTACATTTTTATAATCCACTAGAGGACTATAAAGGCAATACAACAACTTCAGAAAAAACAACTATCGAAAACATAAACACACTAGAAAGTAAGCATGACCATGTAAAGATTAGACCTGAAGAACTAATCAATAAAGCAGCTCAGCAGAGCACAATACAGCAGGTTCTTCCTGCCCTGGGGGAAACCAACAGGAAGCAATTTAATTCAATAGTTATTTGCCCAAACTCTGTAAAATGAAGTAAACCAGCCAGATCTTATTTTACAGTAACGAGGCTTGATCATTCAGTACTTACCAAGTTGATTCACTACTTAACGTCACCATTTTATTTAAAAAGAGCCAGTTTCGAGAAATGCTCATACAGAGCTTTTATGCTATCTCCTGCCTGAATTCCCTAATTATGTTATGAAAGACTACCCCCCCCCAAAAAAAAAGAAAAGTGGTTTTAGCTGGAATATATGAAGTAGTTCACCTTCACTTGTAGGCTCTAATATAAATAAATAATTTTTTTTAAAAAATCTAAAAAGCAGTATGCAAAGTCAATATTAAACCCATTAAAACCAAAAAGCTGTAATTAATTTCCATTAGCACCCTTCCAAACTGCTGTAGTAACACTGGATAAATGTTTAAGCAGGGCTGCATAGTTACAAATACTGGATTTCAAGAGAATCTAGCACAAGCAACGTGTCTTTACACCACCATAAAGTATAGTGCCACGTTTTCAACAGCACTGCAACTGGTAATTAAGGCTTCAATGAACTTCTGTTTATGTCCACTGACTGACAAGCCTTTGTGTAAATTAAAAAAACAAAAACAAAACACAAACCAAAAAACCAAACAAACAAAAAAGCCAAACCCAAATAACAAAACAGACTGCTTCTTAAGTGTGCATAGATTTTTTTTTTGTCACAGATCTAAAATTTTCTTTATCATTCAAAACAATACAAAAACGGACTGCTTTTAAGTGTCACTAATTTAGCAGCAAATAGCCGCAAACTGCTCCATGCAGATTAATGACAGATTTCTGGTAACAGCATGTGTTCTTAACTAATTATAACTTGAATACATTAATATCTCAGAATTAAGAGTTTATTCACTGGATCTTATATTTGTCTTTTTTTACATTAATCTACAGAAGAAGAGAGACATGAACATTTCCAAAGAGTCCTTTAAAAAATGGAGCAAAATACAGCTTGTCCCTAAGTCAGATGCCAATAAATAAGCAAGACCTTTACTCGTCAGAAAAGTCCTCAGAGTTCAAAATTTCACAGCTGTAGTTGGGTCTAACCACATTTCTAAAAAAATTAAATCTAACCACACAGGAAAAAAGCCTTAAGTATTTTTCTTTTAAATAAATTCAGATGTTTCAGCAGAACAGAATATAACACTCTGAGGGACAAGCATCCTCTACGTTGCATTCAACAATATATCTCCCTCCCTTCAGCCAGCGCTGTGAATACAAATGGCAGTGATACTCCTTGCAATTGTAATAGGCTCAGTTCTATAATGAAAGCCTATTTAAAATCAATAAAATCAGTCCTGCTTTTGGGAGCTATGATTACTCTGGTCCACTGCTACTGCTTGCAGCAAAAATGAACAGCTTGTTCTCAGCCCACTGCTGTGTATATTTAAATACTGAATTCTTGATCATGAAACAATATACTGAGAACCATAGTTCTGCTAGTTATATGGTATGCTAATTTATTACCTGTGAACAACTTTCCATTATTATTGATATGACTGTGTAATTGCAAATTAGGCGTGTTAACAATTACATTAAAATGTGCTGTAGCTTATCAAAAATAAACTACTGTAAAGAACAGACAAAGTAAGACTGCATGGTAATAGGCCTCACTCTTGCCTGTTTATGAACAGAAGATTTTCTATCAGAGAGTACTCAGGACTACTTTGGCAAGGCATCCTACACTACAGAATTAGAGCATGGGACTGAAAGGGAGGAGGTCTCACATGAAATCCTAATCACGTTTCTGTCTCACCATGTGACTTTCACCAGTTCGGCTTCTCTATCTGCAGGGGCTCTGTGAAAATTAATTACCGTTTGCACCTCTTTTAAAAATGCAGAACCTGATTCAGTATTACATTAGCGTATTTCTACCCCAGCGTTAGGCAACTGACCACAGGAGAAGGGCTGACTCCAAACCCCGGCAGCACCGTAAGTACTGCAGCAGAAGCAAAGCATCACTGGAAAATACACTGATCTCTTGTAAGGAGCTTAGTACATGTTGCAAAATAGATGGAAGCAACTCAGTGTCATGGGAGCAGTGCAATGAAGACAAATTGAGGACATGCCAAATCAATGTCTTACAGAAGCACTGTCTCCTTACTGACCCAAACGTGAGCATAAACACTGAGTTTATAAACACACGAGAGCTGTTTCCACAAAGGCAGCAGGCGTTAATGAGACTCCTCCGTCCCTCTGTACACACCGGAGGACCCCAGCCCTGTGTGGTTAGGCAGCTATTAATTAATTTCAAGAACTTTGCTAGTCACCCTTCTTTGCCTAAAGTCATTAAGCTGTGCTTGACGAGCAGAACTCCTCGAGCACAGCCCCCTTCCCAAAGTCCTGGGAGAGCTAGATGGGGTACATGAATCTGCAACCAGCTCCAAACTCTCCACCTCTTAAAAGAGGCAGAGGCCAATCTAATGATGTATTTGTCTGGTAAGACTCCTCTGAGCTTCCCTTCCCAAAGCAAGATTTTTCCCCCACTCTGCTTTATAATTTAGCTTTTGTAACGTGGAAGTTGAGGAAAATAAGGCAGATATTAAACATTTTCTGACAGCAATTATACTTCATTTTGGATAGCACAAGAACTACAAAGACGTCAACAAAACCCAGAACGCCTACGTGCCGCTCCTACTCCAGTTTCCTCATCAGTGTTGAAGCAAAACCACAAATGCTCAAGTGATCTGTAAGGGTTCTACATAACCTCTCCCAAACTGCAAATCTGCAGCTCAGAGCTTGTCTTCCAAAACACGGGGTTCCCCTTACAAGCCCTGAAAGCGTCAAGTTTGGGTTGGTTTGTCATTTTTTTTTACCTACCTCTAGCTGATCCAACAGTAAGGAAACCTACTTTTTGGGGTCTC